CGTACGTAGTAGTAGTAGTGTGTGTGTGTGTGTGTGTGTGTGTGTGTGTGTGTGTGTGTGTGTGTGTGTGTGTGTGTGTGTGTGTGTGTGTGTGTGTGTGTGTGTGTGTGTCATATGCTAACTGCTGTATTCTCAATAAATGCAGTGTATTGCCTTTTTCTCTGAAAAAGATCCCGTGTGCTTCTTATAAGCATAACATAGGTACAGCTGGTAGTAATGCCTATAGCTAAACTGGCCTAACACTTGGTTAAAAGACCCCCCTTTTCACATAGATGCTGGAACTAGGGATGCTGGGGGTGTGGAAAAAACCCCTGGCTTAGTGGTTTCCATCGTATACAGGATTTACCGTTTGGGTCAATGGCTCTCAGCAACCCCACTATATAAATTGTTCAAGCCCCCCTGCCTTTTCAGTTGTTTGTAACTTTGCCAAACGTTAACCATTCAGACAGAACGTGTCATGCTTGTTTTTTGACTCCGAGTGAATTTTTTTTTTTTTAAACGTTTCAATGAAAACATTTCGGCCATTTCTGAGAAACGGGTTACACTTTTGTCAAAACATTTCTCTGAAGATCTTTAGTACCCCCATATTTTGGAGGAACAATTTGAAAGTTGGCAAAGAGCTGGTGCTAGAGTCAAAGAGGTGCCTTTTACTGATGAAAATTCAACAAGATTTGGCAAAATTAAAAGCCTTTTAAAATTTCTATTTGCCTATGTTCAGAACTTTTTAGAAACTTAAGTCTAAAGTGCTAAAGTCTCATCTATACTGAGCATAGCCTCAGCCCCCCACACAGCTTGAGCTCAGCGGGGGTCACAGCAGGAATATTGCTACTTTAGTGAAACCCACATACCTCCTGGGTGTGCTGTTTTGTCCTGGCTAGTGGCAATGAGACCACTTAAGAGAGATTAGGAGTCTGCTTTACAGCCTTAGCTAACTGCCAGTTTGCTTTTAGCTCATGCCATGGAAGCTCAGGCACTAAGCTCCAGAGGTTCCGGCTTCGATCCAGTCTGCTGACGACTGGGGTCTATCAGCGTTACACTAGCATAGTGAATGGGATGGTGGGTTAGAAGCCATGAGTTCTAGTCTTGCGTCTTCTCCCTACTGACTATTAATAATTATTTGCAGAGTGTAGTGGGGTGGATGCCCCACTCTGGCAGAACAGGGGTTAAAAGCAGTCCTGGTGAGGGCTGCAGCTGTGATAAGGAGTGAGAGCAGCTGAGGGAGTAGTTGACCACAGGTGTGGCCAGCTCAATCAAGGCCCATCTGGCCCTGATAAGAGGAGTCTCACTCTAGCCCTTGAGTGGGAAGGGCTAGCAGCCTGGGAACAAGGTACCTAAAGTGGAGCAGTGCTGGGGAAGGGCAAAAGGAGCTGGGGAGCTCCAGCTTGGTAAACCCCCAGGCTGCAGGCCTTGTTAACGGCCCCAAAAGGTACTGGGGCTGCAGAGAGGCAGCCCGGGCATAGGCAAAGGCAGCAGATCCTACCCCCTTGCCAATAATGAGTGGCCATAATAGACTGCAGTCAGCCCCAGGGAAAGGGGGCTAGATGATGGCTGGCATTAGTCACTGAGGCAAGGTGGGCTTAGAGGGTGGGGGTTCCCCTGGAAGGGGAGACCCAGAGCGTGGGGGCGCTGCTCCAAGGTATTGGGCACCGGCATCCAGGAGGGGCACGGGGCCTGAGCAGGCGAGACTCCGGCCAGCAGAGGGCGCTCCGAGGCTGGAAAAGAACTAATTCCCAGGACGACCAACAGGAGGCGCTGCACCGGTGACTCAGCAATCTGCTACACAGGGACCTTATTGAGCAAGGCCTCAGACCCTTACTTTTAAGAGGGAAGCAAATACACTTTCCTCACATTTTACATGACACCAAAGTGATGGTTACCTCTGGCGTGGCTGGGAATGGAACCCAGGTCTCTAATCTGACTAGGTTTGGTGGAATTCCGTTTTTAATTTCAATGGACAATATTGATGTTTATTTTTAAGACTTTCTACTTTTATTAATTTAAATTCTCAGTTGTGGGGAGTAAGATAATGATTTAATGATAGATATTGAGATTCAAAATGGTAAAGATTTAGAACTGTTAAAACACAAATTGCCAATGTCATATTAAAACATACAAAGTAAATATTCTAAATCAGACTAATAAACTCGAGCTGCATTTTTTCTTATTTTTCCTAACTGTAAATTTCTATTATTGATGGAAATATTTTTTCATCAGTTTGTGTGGGTACAGTGAAAGAGATTTATTGACATTTACTGATGAAAATCTAATCCTTCTAAGCCTAATTATGACAGACTCAAGTTCATCCACTTGGCTGCACTGGCTTTCAGAATGAGCATGCCAAATCTATGAAGGTGGCTAGTTGCAGTCTTTACTACTATAGTACGCTCTCCTTCAGAGACGGCACTCAAACCCAGGAATCCTGATTCCTAATATTCCAAAATGTTGACAAAATGTGTTTCATATCCCTCTCTAATCATTGGTTCATACAGGATAACTGTCTACTACTGCTACCTGTTGGTAGATGTCTGTATTGTGGATATGGAAGTTCTAGGGCCAGATCCAGCTGATGACTCATAAAGGGAGTCAACATGTTTCCATAGGATATTTCTGGTTTTTCAGTATGTTAATTAAAAACCTAGGAATCCACATTAAAAACACCCCTACATTAAGGGAATGTTCAAGTTGGAAAGTCAGGCAACTCGCAAGTTAAGAAATTCCGGAAGTAAGATTTCTCTGGAATCTTAATTTGGCTTCCTTGTGCATAAGGATGATGATACGCTATCACAGACTACTTGTTCTACAGGAACACTGTCTCGTCCAGTGGACGAGCTAGACAGTGAAGGAGACAGAGGGTTGTAAGATGAGGATGTTGTGTTTTAAAGCACAGGTCTGGAACCCAGGAGGTTTGCATTCTGCTTCTGGGTATGCCACAGACCACCTATACTGTTATGATGCACAATGGGACAGAACCCTTCCATGCCTGATTTTGTAAACTTAACTTTCTTTTTAAAGTTTTTTGAATGTAACAATATAGCATCCTGGAAAGGCTAGACTGAACTCAGGTGTTCCTGTTTCAAAATTACTAAATTTATTATTTATGAACAATACATGACTTGAATAAATAATACTCAATTTGTTAGTTGCAAGCACCAGGACCAATTCATTCAGTACTTTAGGCCAAAATTTCTACAGAGAGACTCTTGGTGCAGAGCTTGGTGATAAACTTCCAGACATTCTGCTAAAATAAAAAAAAAAACTCTTAGGCTTTTTGAAAGAGTTTGATGGATATTTACTTAGATATGGGCAGGTCTTTATATTATTCTATTATGTATTTTCTTATTTATGGGATAGGTGCTCAGCGTATACTTGTTTTTGTTTTAAAATAAATTTGGTGAAATAAATCCACATTTAAGCAGCTAACAAAGGGCCTAAAATGTGCTCACTGCTTCTGTGAGGTGCTGAGTACCCTCAGCTTCCAATGGCACTTTCATGGGAAATTACCTTCCAGGGCCTGATACAAAGCCCACTGAAGTAAGTGGAAAGTCTTCATTTATTCCAATTAACTTTGGGTCCACCCACAGCACCCTGCAGGACTAGCTTCAAAGGCGGCCTGGTTTTCAGATGTGCTGAGCACTCATGACTCCTATTGAAGTCAACAGGAGCTACAGCTACCATTGAAGTAATGCTGGGAATTGGGACCTCAAAACCTCAGAGGGATTCAGCAACTTTCAGGATAGTATCCTTAATTCAGGTGTCTCTAAGAGGACCTACTTGCCTAACTTCAAGATCTAGGTTTTAAAATTTTTGCCTTAGATCAAATGCTTTCAGTTCAACTTAAGTTTGTGGCAATGATTATTTAAGCTGCACACACTTAACATTTTGTCCTACGAAACACTGAATTTTCTTATCAGTAATACTTGTATGAACTTCTTTATGTCCCAATCCTTTAGGAGTACACTCTAACCTTGATTCCTGGTGTGTAGTTACATGTGCATATGTCTAATTAATACTGATCCTCATACAAAGATGTATATACTTCTAAATCTCTAATACCAAAAAACACCATGCAAACCAACATGGTCAACTATTTAAAAAGGTATTTTTCAGGGTTTTTGTGTATGTGTGTTGTTGTTTTTTTTAATGTTAGGGTACCTTGCTAGTACCCTCTAAAAGGCTTGAAAATGCATCATTGTTTCTTATTACGAATACTCTGCATTTTGCTGTATCTGAACTGCTGGTAATATTTACATGGCTGGTACTTTACAAACTCAATTTATTTATCATCTTATCTACAAATATATTTTAGCTTCAATAGCTAAATTGATGCACTGCAATATGATTAGCAGAGCTGTGCAAATGGCTTTAATCAAACTGAAGAGTACTCAAATTAGTCTTGGCTTGAGTTCAAATTGAAACTGTCAGAAAATAGTATTGTGCTTGAATTTTGTTAGTGTTTATAAATCGTCCAAAGTAGTATTTTATTGTGGCTGAGTATCTGCAAGATTTATCAGGTTGCTCCATGTGATGCCTTTGGAGTTTGAGCCTGATTATTTGGGACAGGGCATACAGATCAACTCACGTGGGGGAATTTACATAGCACTTCATGTAGGCTAGATTGTCAGGGATACAGAATCAGGAGTGTCAATGCACTGCAACCAAAGCCATTTTCATTTGGTTTCACAGAAAGTAAAAGGGGGTGTGGTACTGCAGGTCGGTGTGGACTGTTATCTTATAGCTACGTGTAGTGACTGCTATCATTTTTCAGTTAAAGAGAACATCTCTTAATAGGCCTGTGTCCAGTAGTTTCAGCCTGAGGGTCAAATAAATTATTTCACATTGATACCAGTTTTGCAAGTTTTTTTCTGCTCCATGTGACATTTTATGCAAATGAAGAATTTGCTTATAAGCATGATCTTAGGCTTGCAGTCTCAGACCCTGCTCTGAGTGATAGCAGGGGGTAGGTCACAGAGATTCACAGATTTGGCAGCTCAGGCTAAGGTAGGTAGGTAGGTGTTTGTGTGGGATGGGGGAGTCTGAGTGGTTGTTGGGTGAGCAGATGTTGGTATTGCTGGGGTTAAGGGGCACCTGGAACTTCCGAGTCTCTCTCAAGCCCTGATCCTGCAAAGACTTAGAATATGGTACAACTCTGAAATACACATGGTTCCTACCCCAAAGAGCTTACAGTCCATGGCTCTGAACCAGCAGAGACTTATGCACCTGTTTAACTTTATGCATCTGAGTCCCATCGAAGCTAAGCAAGTGCACAAGTCTTTGCAGGATCAGAGCCCTACACTGTAAGCTTTGGGGTAGGAGCCACGTTTCTTTCAGAGTTGCTCCATGTTCTGGCCGGCACAATAGGACCCTGATCCTGATCAGAAGCCTCTGGCACAGTCACTATATAAATATTCTTTAATTTCCAAAATAAGTTTTATGGTTATAGTAATAATAATAATGATATATACAAAAACCTTATATCTAAAACAATAACAAGCCACATTTTAAATCAGTGAAAGATTAAGATTTCTTTCCCAATACAACTAAACAAAGGGAGTCTCCTTCACCTTCCTGTTCCTCCCCAAAAGGCGAGAGACAGCTGGGTTACAACACTTTGTAATTGCACGGGTTAGTAATAATCACCACATTACTCTCAGCCTGGAAGTAGATTTTTTTAGTACTGACAAGCAAAGCCTGGATTCGTTATTTGCAAGAGAACCAGTACAATAATAGGCTGTACATTTGGGAACACATTGGCTACTTACTGTTACTAAACAAATGAACCTTGTGCTGACCTTGAAGAGTCATTCCTGATAAGGAATAAGAATGAGAAACGCTGTCAGATGCCCATTTAGCTACAATTCTTTTGGACGTGGCTTGACTGTACATATAAATGTCACATTAAAAACGGGGGGGAGGGGAGAAAGAGCGCTGTTAGTGCTTTAGTCTACTGTAGACAGAAGACAAATGACCTTTTAGCGATCAGCTTGTGATGGAGAGCCTCTCTAGGGTGGGCACTGGAGTCCCAGGATGATAATTGCATAAGGAGTTCATGTGGAGGACTGACACTTTTTGGAGGTGGCACTAGCCACCTTACCCTTCTGCAACTGAAGTGCAGCGATGGGTTCATCCTAGAGCTTGGACTTCACTTCACTCTATGATAGCAAGGCAGAATCAGCAATAAATGTTCATGTTAAAAACTTCAAGGCAGAAGGCTTTTTCAGGTTGGTAAGAGTTACCAGTGTCCCCTTTGAGAAAAGGGGCCAGAAATCCAACACTGTCCCTTCTCTCAGGTACTTGGTTTGGCACATTTGCCTGTTTCCTGTTCCTACTGTACTCTGCCCATATCCTAAAGCTAGGTGTCAGCACAATATGGAATTATTGGAAGTAGAGCCTATATCTTCCCTTTCCCTTCAACCCATCTTCCTTATTTTCTTCATCTCACCTCCTGGAGAGGGCTGCATGCTCCCAGCTATTCAACTTTCTCTCCTCCATCTCAGAAACTTCACCATCCTCCTTGTTATTTCAGCTCACATCCTTAGGGTTATTTTCCATTCCTCCTTAACCTTCTCTCCTCACATCCAAGCTCTCAACCCTTTTACTTCTCCCTTTGACATTTCCAAAATCTACCTGGTCTTCTCTCCAGTCACTCCCATGTTCCCGCTTAACAAAAACAAACAAAAAATCGTATCCCACTGCTCTGACCATGTTCACTCCTTCCTCAAATCCTTTCACTGAATGTTATGCATCAAGAGATAAGAATTCAAAGTTAATGAACCTAGACAACTCTTTCCCTGCTTAAGTCTCAACCTTCATTTCCACCTATTCCCCATCCCATGCAACAAACGAACCAAACACATCCCCTCACATCATCAGGTACAAGCTTGTAGTAACTAAGGAAGCTATTTTAGATAATTAAAACTAGATTAGCATAAAACTTTCCCTATACAATTAATGAATAATATTCCCTGCACTTGTGGGATTCTCTGAGGTGTATTTATTTCCCTCTTGTACTGACACTACATCTATTTTAAACTCAGGTGTTCTTGTCTTAAGATAAAAGTAAAATTAGTCACCTATCTCATGTCATTTTCCTATGCACTTTACCTTGAGGGCTTTTTGCGCAGCTTCAGTCGAACCAATGGCAATCAGGTTTGGTCCAGCCATGCTACAAAAACTCTTCAGATGCAAAGTGCCATAAACAGGGACTGTGGAGACAGCATAATCCTATGTAGAAATGAAGAAGGTGCACAGTAAATATTTTAAATCAGTACCAGTTCCATATTTGCACTGAGTAATTCAATGACACATTTTAGCTCCTCTGCAAGTTAATTCATCTGCATGTCCTGAGGTAAACTGGCTACAGTCAACTATGACTGTGACATGCCCCTTTGGGCTGTCTTGGCTTGCTTTGTGCATCAAGGAAAAATACAGAACTACTGCAGTTTTCACTACTTGTGCACCTGAAAATAAATCTGTTAAATGTTTAAAAATTACTTCTCTATAAAACCCACCAGGAACCCACGTGAGAACACGTTCATGCATATTGCTGAGCTTCTCTAGAAGAGGAATGGGAGGCCTAAGATAGTAGCAAGTAGTAGTGACCTGGCACTGCCCCACTTACAGTATTAGTCCCTCAGAACTGACTTGACTCCACATTTCCTTTGTCCCCTTTTGAAGATCTGTGACTTTGATGGGTCTGTTGGCTTCTCTGCCTTTTTGTAATTCAGGCCACTACCCAGGAATCTAAATAGAGAGGAGCCTGACTTTAGATACCCATTTCTGAACATTTTGGCTAATGTATTTGGTTCAGTGGGCTGTAGTTTAACCCCTTTGTCTGTGCCACAGAAAGCAGAAGGTCTTATTGCAGAACAAGTGTACAAACCTTAAATGTGTCAGCCAGAATTTCTGCACCACGTTGATTTGTCCGTCTTGACAGACCCACAAAAAATTCCCTGCCTGAAATGAAGAGATCGCAAAGAATAGTAAAGACAAAGTTAATGATTTTTTTAAATTTGAATGGCTGAAAAATACATGGACACGAACCATATCTAATAATCAGAACACATACATTTTAAAAATAGGCCAAATTTGAGATGGAGATGTTGTAATATAAAGTCCTTCACAATTATCAATATGAGACTTAACTGTGGCTAAAAAAGTCTAGTAACAAAACTAACTAGAAATGTAGCTTTTAAAAAAAAAATGCAACTTGCAATTGGAAGTTGATTCTAATTAAATTCTTCTTCTGGTGAAGGATAATCACTGTAAATTATACACAAACAGCTCCCTTTCCTTTAAAACTTTGCAATGGTCATAGGATAAATGGACATAACAGCTGGGATGGATTACTAAGTCACCGATCGACCTTCTGTTTCTCTTCTGAGATTTCTCCCATTCTTGGATTTTAAACCTCAGTAATAAAGACACAGCTATCTTCAAGGTGCTAGGGAAATAGATACTGGGATCTGTAACATAATAGAAATACCTTATTTTTTTCGTTTGCTTAGTCTGAAACAATCTTGTTCCCTTTGTGAGTTAGGCAAGCAACCTGCCTATTGTGATGGTGATCAAAATAAACAGCCTCATTTATCTCAGGCAAGGGTCAAACGTATAGCCAGCCAATGTGAGAAAATGCATAATGGGTTTAACTATGTAAAAATCAGCATCGGTATCTTCCCTTTTGAATTTGTTCATGCAAAAAACTTGAGTGGCAACTCCACTTCTCTTCCACGTGAGATCTGGCAAGCAGGTCTATTTTCCCCATAAACTACAAATGCACTATCCAGTGTTTACGCAAAGAACTAACCACAATTACGTCTGAATCAAGCTTTTATGATTCCCGCAAACAGGTCTGTGCAAACATGGCTGCCAGTAACAAAAAATATGAAATGATGGCAATAACTTGACTGCTGAAAGCATTTTCTTTATTGCTAAATAATACTTTACAAGCTAGGTGAATTAAGGCTTAAATACACATGATTTGTATTGTGTCTACTGCTACTTCCATTATTCTGCATTACTCAGGAAGTTTTGCATTCAAAAGACATTTCTCAAACTAAAGTGCTGTGCTGCCATTTGGTAAGCAATGACCTAATAAAATCTTTACACTAGTATAAAGTATTTTATTAATAGAGACCAGATAGTGTTAAATTCTCTGGGCAGTCCAGAAAAAAAGAACAATTTCACTTTAATTGTGTACCTGTAAATAAGACATCTCCACCATCTAAGGTTGCATTTTCATCTGTCATCTCTACAATGTTGAGGTTAAGACTTTCTAGTGCTCTCTTCATTGCATCAACCTGTTTAAAAGGAAGTAGTTTAGAGTCTCATTTAGGTCCCACCATTAAAAACATCAATTAATCAAATCACAATAGGCATTAGTTTAAATTAAAAAAGAGCGAGTCAGGTAACTGCTAGTAAGACAGAAAGCAAATGTCCTCCATCCCAACAGGTCCTGCCAATCTCCAATCCCAGAATCCCTTTAGGGGGCTCCAAAGGATGGAGGGCAGGGCAGGGCCGGCTTTAGGACCTGCGGGGCCCGATTCGAATACCTGGCGGCGGTCTGGGTCTTTGGCAACGGGGGGTCCGCTCCATGTCTTCCGCGGCACTGAAGGACCCCCCGCCGCCAAAATGCCGACGAGGACCCGGAGCGGACCCCCCGCTGCCAAAGTGCCGCCGAAGACCCGGAGCGGACTGCCACCTGGTGAGTAAGGCGCAGGGCCCTCTTTGGCGTGGGGCCCGATTCCGGGGAATCGGCCTAAAGCCGGCCTTGATGGAGGGGATGTGTGTGGAAGTGAGTAGTGAGAGTCACTATCTTTCATGCAGACACCATGAAGGATTAGAACGTGCCCACTATGCATGTCAGCCCCAGTCCCTCTCCTGTGCTAATCCCTCAATGCTACAAAAAACTGTTTCCTGTGGCCTTGAGTGAAAGAGCGATGGCAGAGAGATGGCATTGTCTACTTCCGCACCTCCTAGTCACAAGGTTTTCTTGTCTATCATCCATGGAAGTGGAGATTCTGACTTGGCCGCTATCCATGAAGGGGAAACATACAAATCAATCAATTTAGTTTTTTTAAGTATCTGCATCTTTACTGATTATTGATGTCTATTGCCTTGTGTTAATGAGCTCTTTGTATTTCTGTACATTGTGGACTCAGTTCTTCCCTGGGTCTGAGCGCTGCTTAATGACGGGGGAAGCATGGAGTGGAGGTGTCAGAAATCTAGTTATGGTTTCCCCAAAGCCTGCTCCAGACCAGCTCCAAGCTCAGAGCAGCCAAGAGACCGCTCTAACTTACGACACTGGTGCACTTTATGCCAGCGGAGGGCCAGTATAGTAGAGATCTGCTCCATCATGCCCTTGACAAGTTCCTTCTTCCCCAAATATTCTCCCTGTGTTGGAGTAGGAGGCAAGAGTGGCTGGTATTGAAGCCATCTCCACTGATTGTATTACAGCCAGCTATCCTACATATAGGCTATCACCAACTATACTACAGCCAGGATATCCATTGCCCAGCTACAGCCATCCATCCCCTCTGTGCCGCCTGTGCCAAAAGAAGCTTATAAGTGAAACATCCATAAAAGGTGTAGATAGGGTTGATACCCTACTACAGGAACTGCAGCTAATAGAAATAAGGAGTTATTCCACAAAGTGCACAAAGCTCTGATCCTTTTCAACAGTTCCTTATATTACACTGTATAGCCAGTTCATTATATTACACTAGAGCAAGTTACCAGCCATTAGGAAATGTGGAAGATACACTGAGAGTGTCATGAAGTTCTGTTTCATTTAGGTCCCAGATCTGCGTAATATGGCAACTTAAACATTTTTAAAAGAAATGAGAGCATTCCAACATGGCTGACACACACATAACATGAACAGAAGAGAACAGGAATGTGCAATATTTAAATTAAACAGAGTGATTATGAGAAGGCAGTAAGTAGTCATGCTGAACAACAACATTTCAAGTATGCTCGGCAAACTATAACAAACCCAGCAGACTCAGTTTGCTGAGTTACAATTGAATAAAAATAAAGAAATGCTCTGTTTTTGCAGTGTTGTTGAAACTGTATTGGTCCCAGAATATTAGAGAGGCAAGATGGGTGATAAAAGAGAGAAAATATATTACCTCACCCACCTTGTCTCTCCATTTTTGCAAGTCGGATAGTCTCACAATTTCAAGAACTTCACAGAAAACAAATACTAGAATACAGTAAATACAATGTCATATTTTTTCAAAAGCTCCTGTGAAACAAGCTGTTGGACCTACATCTAAGAAGAAGACCTCTAATTCCCATGCAGTTCAAATGTACTGGCTAGTCAAAACGTGCATCTAGTTACATTCCTCCAGTATCATGTGACATTAGGTAACACACTGGCACCTTTTCTTGGGTCCTGCCAAACTGCAATCAGCACAGGACCCAAGGCAGAGGGGTGATCCCTCATGTAAGTTACAGCAGCCTCAGTGCTGCTGTAACCTGTGTTCAAGCTACCCTTGCCCCAAAGGGGCTGTTCTGGCAGCTGGGAATAGCCAGAGGGCAGAGGTGCTTCAGCCACACCCACTCTTCCCTGACCATTATCCTTACATCAGGGCTGTGACATAAGAGTGGCACAGAGCTGCTCTACAGCAAACAGGGATTCTCCCTATATTTGGGGGTGGGGAAGCCAGTTATGATGGATTTGTGGCCACACTGTGCCACCAGACCTGTATTGTAACAGAGAATTGGGCCTACTGGCCTTTTAGAGAGAAAGGACTGAGAACTTCTGCACATGGAACTCTAGTTAGAGTTTACTGGGAGTTCCATGCACTTATGGCTGGAAGACTGAGATCCAGAAGCTGGAATTTGTCTTGTGCACACATTAAGATATCTATTCTGATCGATCTTCAGATTAACCTCAGAGATACTTCAGGCTGAAACGCTGCACTTAAAAAGGTCTCCAGCCAGGATCAGTGGGTTTTTTGGTTTAGCTGGTTTAAGGTTTAGTGTGAGACGTTGTAGTGGGGTGGTCACCCCGCTCCGGCCCTGAAGGGGTTAAAACAGCCCTGGAGAGGGCCGCAGATGGGAAAAGGTAGGCTGATGGGGAAAGCAGCCACAGCTGTGGCCAGCTTAATCAGAGCCCAGCTGGCCCTTATAAGAGGGCAGGAGGCCAGAAGCAAGACACACTCTCTCTCTAGCTTTTGAGAGAGAAGGACCTGGCTGCCTGGGAGCTGAGAAGGGTACCTGAGATGGAGCAGTGCTGGGGAA